TTTGACACAGGATCTTGTGCCCAGGCTGGATTTTTTTAATCTTTATTTATTTACTAGTACATTTTAGATATAAATATTGATAGCATTCATCATAGGGAATTTGTACCTATACGTTATATTCTTTTTGGTACCGGGGATGGAACTTGTGTCCCTGCACTTACAAGGCAGGTGGGTGGAACCATTAAGCCAAATTCCCGGCCCCCCAATTTTTTTTTGGCCCTTGTGCTTGCAAGGCAGGCGGCAAAACCATTGAGCTAAATCCCCAGCCCATACCTATACATTATATATCTTGATTCTTCTTTTCCCCTTCCATCAACCCCTTACCCTCCTTTACAAAAGCTTTGTTTCTATTTTTTTCTTTTCTCTTCCTTTACCTCCTCCCTTGCTCTACTCATTTGAACACTGTCTTCCCATTTCCCATTATCTATCGTGCATTTCGTTCTTTATTTACACTTTTGGTTTCTCACACTAGAGAAACAATGTGGTATTTCAACATGTGTACCCAATTTATGTCACTTAATATTGTCTCAGGGAGCCTCCAGTTAGCTATAAATATCTCAATTTATCCTTCTTTATGGGATAGTACACTACTATATAAGAAAAGCCACATTTTCTTTACGTATTCATCAGTTAAAGAGCATTTGGGCTGTCTCTAAGATTTAGTTATCACAAACTGTGCCTCGCTAGATTCATACTCTGCAATCCTCTTGCCTCAGCCTTCCTCAGCGCTGGGATTATAGACATGTTATGATGACCACACTAGTGGTTCTCTAACTTTTAGAGAAGAGGAGAATTGTATTTGCTGCAGACAAATTTCAACTGGTATGATGAAGCTCCCTCTGTTTTAATCCTTATAAAAAAAGAAAAAAATAGGGCCAGGGGTTTGGCTCAGTGGTTCCACCGCCTGCCTTGCAAGTACAAGGGCCTGAGGTACTGAAAAAAATAATAACCTGAAATAACAGGTGTTATCAACTTTTATTTTTCTATTCTGTCTTCCAGTCCCCACCTTAGAAAGATGTAATTTTGAAATGATTAATCTGCTGGGCGTGGAGGCACACACCTGTAATCCCAGCATTCAGGAGGCTGAGGCAGGAGGATCACTGTGAGTTCAAGGTCAGCCTGGGCTACATAGTGAGTTTAAAGCCAGACTGAACTGACCTCTAGGAAGACCCTGACTCAAAAAAAAAAAAAAATCCATTGTTCATTTTTTTATGCTTCCATGAGCCACTCTGTCTATAAAACCAACTTCTTCTGCTCAGCTCCTTTGGAATACTTGCATTGTCTTATGGTGTGAGGTATTGTCTGATTCTAGAATTACGAATAGAGCCAATTAAAATATTTAAATTTGTTGTAATGTGATCATGGTTTTGGGTGGAGTAGTAGAGGCAAGAGCTTGATTTAGAATAGGTTTAAGGAGGAATTGGAGAAAGGGAAGTGGAGAAAGATACAGGAAATTATTTCTAGGAGTTTTGCTATAAAGGAGAACAGAGAAATGGGACAATAGCTGGAGTGGGAGTCAAGAGCTGGTTACATTTGGAAGAAGTTATAGCATATTTGAGTACTGACGAGGACATAGGAGGCTAAGGCAGGAGAATCACCTTGGGTTTGAGGCCAGTGTAAGCTACATAATAGTGAGACCATGTTTCAAAAATAGAAAAAAAAAAGTACTGATGAAGATTATCCAATAAATATTGAAAAATTCATAATGCAGCAGCAGTATCCCCTAAGACTCAGATTCATTTCTGTCGTCCTGACATGGATGTCCTTGATAGACACGAATTACAATTAACCTTTTTTCTTCTTTTGTTACCGAGGATGGAACTTGGGACCTTGTATTTGCAAGGCAGGCAGCAGAACCACTGAGCTAAATCTCCGGCCCACGATTTGCAATTTATTAAAAATAGTTATCCATTTCATTTGGCAGAAATTAAACACATACAAATAAACTAGAGATTGAACCCAGGGTCTTCACACTGAGCTACAGCCCCACCACTTTTTACTTTTGATTTTTTTTTTTTGGTGGTGGTACTAGGTTCAAACCCAGGGCCTTGGGCATGCTATGCAAGTGCTCTGCCACTGGGCCACATTCCCAGCATTATTTTTTTTATTTATTTATTTTTTGAGACAGGGTCTCACTGCTATAGTTGAGACTGACCTGGAACTCACTATGTAGCCCAGGCTGGTCTCCAGCGATCCTCCTGCCTCAATCTCCCAAGTGCTGGGATTACAGGCATGCACCACCACACCCAGCCAATTATTTTATTTTCTTGAAAGAAGGTCTTACAGTTCAGGATGGCCCCGAGTACGCTGTATAGCCCAGGTTGGCCTTGCACTCATTGCTATTCTCCTACCTCAGTGTCCTGAGTGTTGGGATAACAGTTGTGTGCTTCATGACCTATTTCTTGTTTATTTTTTGAGACAGGGTCTCACTGTCAATAAATTGCCCAGGCTGGGCTCAAGCTTGAAATCCTCCTGCCACAGCCTCCTAGAATACAGGTATTACAGACATGCCACCACACTGAGCTGAAATTCTGTATATCTAATTACCCATCTTAGAAAACTACCATGTAGTAGTAACAGCAGGATGAATAATCTTCACAGTTTCACCATATACTAAGTGAGGCAACAGAAGCCAAGGAGCTGCGAGCCCTGAGGAGAGGTTATGACTCAGACTTCAAGGTCAAATAAAAGAAAGAGTTAGAAATCCTGGCCCTGAGGTGGGATAAAAGAAATAAAAGATAAGTAGAGGGTCGGGGATTTAGCTCAGTGGGACCTTTCAAGCGCAAGGACCTGAGTTCAATCCCTGGTACCAAAAAAAAGAAAAGTAGAAAGGAAACAAGGAAAATCTAATTCAAAACTTGTACTTTTAGGAAAAATGCAACTTCAGGACACAAAATTACTTAAGATTATCCTGTAATCCACAGGTTTATACTTCTTTTTGTCAACTCATCACACCCCAAATCCCTTGAAGATAATATAAATCCATAGATGAGTTTAGTTGATAAAGGGCAGAAACTTGATATTATGATAAAGGAACACTGTAAACCTAGCACTCTGGAGGTTGATGCAAGAGGATCCCAGCAAGCTTGAGGCCAGACTGTGCTTACACAGTGGATTCAAGGTCAGCCTGAATTGTACAGCAAGACCCTATCTAAAAAAAAAAAAAAAAAAAAAAAAAAAAAAAAAAAAAAAAAAAAAAAAAAAAAAAAAAAAAAAAGTACATACATACATATATATCAATAAAGGAGATTTCAAAGAATATATTTAGGCAAAATCTTAAATCACTCATTTTAAAAAACAGGTTCCACATCTCTGCTTTGGGGACCTTTTTGGACACTGTGTGGTGACAGTCCTGGTGGGGTGCATGCCTGTAATCGCAGCAATTTGGGAGGTCAAGTGGGGAGGATCACCAGTCCCTGTCTCAAAATAAAGCATAAAAAATGATCTGTGGCAGTAGCCAGTGGTAGAGCACTTGGAGTTATCTCTATGTATGCCCACAAGTCTGATCAGTATCAAGTTGTAGCAATTCTTTGTCCTAAATACCTTCCAAATCTGTCTCATTCCATAATTACTACATTGCCCCAGTTCAGGATTTCACTACTGCTTGCCTGTATAACTGCAAGTCTCCAGAGGTTTGTCGTTGACCTTGACCCAGATTGAAGAAACTATACAAAATGCAAATTTCTATTATATCATTCACCAGGCTTTTTTCGGATGGGGTGAGCTGAGGCAGTTCTTGCAATATAGTTCTAGGCTGTTGTTTTTTGAGACAGGGTCTCCCTTATGCAGTCCAAACTGGCCTGGAACTCAGGGCAATCCTCCTGCCTCAGCCTCCAGAGGGCTGGAATTACAGGCATGGTTTACCACACCCAGCCTGACTTCCTGTTTTCATCACTCACCTCCCCCAAACTCTCAAGGGCAGGGATGGCTTTATTTTTTTATCAGGCCTTCAACAAAAAGTCTTATGAATACCGTCCAAGGTTATCCAACTGGTAAGCAGAAACGTCAGAAATTTCTCCTTCCATCCCTGCAAGGCTCCCATTGAAATTTAAATTATTCTCCCTAGCAACGCCCTTTATATTTGAAAAACGTTTTGATTAAAGTTACTCTTCATATCCCGGGGCAAGAGGTGGAAATGTTTTCAAACCCTGGAGCCAAGGAGGAGATGCACAGAAAGAAAAAAAAAATTTAAATAAGGATGCAAGGGAAGAACGCAGGTAAAAACCCTATGTACTGAGCAGCCCCGCCCTGGCACATAGGTGCACCCTGGCTTGTACTGCAGCCCTGAGCTCTGCGCCCTCCCATTTCTAAAACTACACAACCCAACATGCCTCGCGCCTACTGCGTGGCAGAAGCATGCCGGGACACGTAGTCCTGTTCTAGGTCGAGACTAAGCCAAGAATGCCTCGTGACGTCAAGAGTGTTCGGAAAGGAGTCGGAACCGACCCAGGCTCAAATTCTTTCAGAGAGCCGGTCCTGGCTTCTCTGGCAACCGGTTTCTACTGTAAACAGGCCCCACCCTACAGTTCAGGAGGACCTATCGTGTGCGTTGTGTAGCTTCTCGCGCGAATCCTTCTCAGTTAAAAAGAGGAAGTACCGTTGGCAAGAGCAGTCAGCCTTTTGGCCTCTCTCTGGGCGTAGGCTTTTGGAGTAGTGGTAGGCAGGGAGCTACTCAGAACAGGGGCTGAAGCTATTTCCCCCGCTGCCGCGTAGAGAACGTGGCAATCCTTCCTCGGACAACCGCTCCCACTTCCTCCGACCGTCGGGTTGCCAGCGCGAGAGGCGCGGGGATTGCTGGGAACGCGCATGCGCCCTACGAGGTGGGGAGCCTGCTTCCAACCTCCGCTGACGCTGGTGGTGGTGGGGGTGTCGGGTGTCGGCGGCGCTTTGCGGCCGGTCGTGCG